TTTTTATTGCCTTCCCCACAATTGATATTTTAGCCAGTTTGATGTAGTGGTTAGGGCACCAGGCTAGAAACTAGAAGACCATGAGTTCAAGTCCTGCCTTAGGAACAAAGCCAGCTGGGTGACTTTAGGCCAGTCTCTCTCTCTCAGCCCTAGGAAGGAGGCAAGGGCAAACCACTTTTCAAATGTTGTTAAGAGAATTGCAGGGACTAGTCCAGATAGTCACCAGGAGTCAGTACTGTCTTGAAGGCACCCAAAAAAAAAAAAAAACCTTCTTGGAAAAAAAAACACGTAGTGCTCCTGAAGTGCTGGAGTTGATAATGAGTAGAAAATAATTCATTTGTTTTATAATCTGGACCACTGAATAATGGGATTATCCTTAATTCCTCAAATTAAAAAGTGGCACCCCTAAAAGATCCTAGTCACATCATACTTAATTGAATGTTTACATTTGATGAACTTTATGTAAACATGTATTAAATGGCTGCTCTAGAATTTAGTTCTAAGGAAATATGTTAATTTAGTCTTCTTCATTTCCAGTGCCATAACACAATGTAATCATTACATCTGGACTACAGTATGTTAAAAGGAGTAAATTACTTCAATGGAATGGATTCTTTAAATTGTCACAAACTAAAGGATTGTGTAAAACAACTGCATAGATAGATAGATAGATTACAGTAATATATGTATGTATGTATGCTTTGGACGGCCAATATAAAAAAAGTTCCCTACGAGCTAGACTGTTCCCCTATAGACAAGGGGCTATTGAGACTACAGCTCATGTCCTGTTCTGTTGTACCCTCTGTAAGGATTGTAGGATTTGCCTTATACAGTGGGGCAAAAAAGTATGTAGTCAGCCACCAGTTGTGCAAGTTCTCCCACTTAAAAAGATGAGAGGAGCCTGTAATTTTCATCATAGGTATACCTCAACTATGAGAGACAAAATGAGAATAAAAATCCAGAAAATCACATTGTCTGATTTTTAAAGAATTTATTTGCAAATCATGGTGTTGGCCCATTCCTCCATGCAGATCTGGGAGAACTTGCACAATTGGTGGCTGACTAAATACTTTTTTGCCCCACTGTAACTCGATCTGCATGGAGGAATGGGCCAAAATACCAGCAACAGTGTGTGAAAACCTTGTGAAGACTTACAGAAAATGTTTGACCTCTGTCATTGCCAACGGGAGAACTTGCACAATTGGTGGCTGACTAAATACTTTTTTGCCCCACTGTAACTCGATCTGCATGGAGGAATGGGCCAAAATACCAGCAACAGTGTGTGAAAACCTTGTGAAGACTTACAGAAAATGTTTGACCTCTGTCATTGCCAACGGGAGAACTTGCACAATTGGTGGCTGACTAAATACTTTTTTGCCCCACTGTAACTCGATCTGCATGGAGGAATGGGCCAAAATACCAGCAACAGTGTGTGAAAACCTTGTGAAGACTTACAGAAAATGTTTGACCTCTGTCATTGCCAACGGGAGAACTTGCACAATTGGTGGCTGACTAAATACTTTTTTGCCCCACTGTAACTCGATCTGCATGGAGGAATGGGCCAAAATACCAGCAACAGTGTGTGAAAACCTTGTGAAGACTTACAGAAAATGTTTGACCTCTGTCATTGCCAACGGGAGAACTTGCACAATTGGTGGCTGACTAAATACTTTTTTGCCCCACTGTAACTCGATCTGCATGGAGGAATGGGCCAAAATACCAGCAACAGTGTGTGAAAACCTTGTGAAGACTTACAGAAAATGTTTGACCTCTGTCATTGCCAACGGGAGAACTTGCACAATTGGTGGCTGACTAAATACTTTTTTGCCCCACTGTAACTCCTTATCTGGTAAAACACCTGGAAAATTCTGATCTCTTTTATGTACAATTGTTGTTATCAGATTAGTATGATTTAGTTTTCTTGAAATTTTGTTATATTGCCTATGGTTTAGAATAAAGAAAAAGAAAAATCCTTGTCTTCAAAATTCTGATAACTCTCTGGGATATTCCATGAATTATAACAAGAGGAAAAGGTTCATAGTGATTAATTCACATACTCCATTCTTTAGAACCTGGATTAAAAGTTGTTTCAGATATTATTTCAGATTGATGGCACTCTCAAAAAGGGGGACGCTCCAGTAGATCTTGTTGAATAGCGGTGCAGTCAGCCCAACTTGGCAGTTGTAGTAAAGCAGCAAGTAACTGCTGTTTTAGAGTCCCCACCATGGGGGCATTCCTACATGAAATGCACTTAGACCAACTGGGAAAACATGAAAATGTTGGGTTCTTCTGCTACTTGACATATATTAAGCCAAGAGACTTGTGCAGATGGGAAGATTTCATACAGTGCAAACTTCAGAATCTGTTTTGAAATAACAAACTTGATACGGGAATCAGTACAAAAATGAATTCAAGAAACACCTAAAACCAGTAGGCCATGCTAGGGCCAAATAGTTGTTCATGGATGCTGCTAGTCTTGGCTGCTTTTGTGAGTATTTATAACAGTGAAAAAATGGTGCATGTTGAAGCTTTTTTTTTAATGGCTGTAAGCTGATGCTCAAAATGGATTCAAGGTGCAAATTACATACAGTAGTATCTCTTTTCTAATTGCAGATACCAGTCTGAGTGTTCATACTCTGTGAAGTAGAAAAGAAATTGTGTGTGACTCTGCACTACTACAGATGATTTACCCGAAAGTGTATTTTAACCTCTAAGCAAGTATGTCTTGCTGCAATGTGAAACCAGTACTCACTTGTACTAATAAGGAAATGCTAGTTCACAACCTGTTTGCATTATTCAATAACCCGAAAGTTTGGTACGGTTTAGGCAATGCCAAAAAACACTATGAAAAATAAATGTGGTCAGAAAGTTCACCCAGTAATTTCTAGTGTGAGAATAAAACCCCAGAGTACACAAAACATAATCTTTACCAATATATAAAATATTACCTAATACAATCGATAACATCCAGAAGTTCAACCAATGTTATTTTTTTCCCTTCTACCTTCTCCTAAGATTGCTTCTCAAGCCAGTCTCCTCCCAGTAACAAGATAATCTTTTGAGATGTTATAGAAGAGATGTGTTAGTCTATGGTAGCTCCCCCCCCCAAAAAAGGAGGAATCTCATGGCAACTTTTCCAACGAATGCATTTCATTAAAAGGCAATATAAACCCTACATCACTCAAGCCACTCTGCATCTGATGAAGTGAGCTGCAGCTCATGAATTCTTATGCCTTTTAATAGCATTTGTGAGACATAGGGAGGGACTGCCTGCAGTTGTTCTGCTGCCATCAGGCAAGTGTGGAGCTTAATTCACAAGCATCCTGGGGTTGGGCTGCCAAAAGCAGAGAGCTCCTTTTGCAGGAGCCTTTTGCACATGGCAAAAGTGATTGTTAAGCGATCCACAGTCAGTCATCTTTTTCCCAGTCTGAATTTGAGACATCCAGCTAAATAAATGCAGCACTGGGAGGACATCTGTACTCGAAGTCATGGTCGCTTACATTAGTAAATGGTATTATTGGCAAAGATTAATTGGAGTCATTCACTCTGTCATTACAATAGCCAATTGTTGGGTGGTATATGGGGGGGGGGATGTTACTTTTACATTGCTACAAAAAGGGCCTAGGCTAATTTATATTTGTAGATTCACATTTGAAAGAATCATTATAGTTCAAGTGGTAATGCAATGCACTTAGTGGTGAGGAGGACTTTGATCAGATGACCATTTGCTAGATCTCCAAATACTAACTCTTGAGGTGCAATTTGTGAGCTGCCCAGAGTTGTGTTTAAGATGGGTGGCCATTCAAATATTTTAAATAAATAAATTTATTTTGAAGTCTGCTCTTTTTTGTAATGGATTTAAAATGAAATTGAATGGAAATGGACACAAAAATATATATTTTAATAGAGAAAGTGGGATATAAAATTCTTAAATAAAGTATCAGTTTCTTTAAAAAAAATATACACCATACTGTACTTCATGAAATCTAGCATAAGCAGGCTGAAAATAAGTTCTCTGTAACAAAGATGAGGTTTACATTTGTTTATTTTAGAAATAATTAGCACAGTCCTACATCCAGATACACAAAAGTACTACTAAATTCAGAGAGATCAATGGAAGTTTACTTTCAACAGCAGCCCTTTAGAATGCAATTTGTACGTAGATAATATCTAACAGAAAAGCAATTAAATGTGTCAAGTATTTATTCTTCAGAAAAATAGAAGATAAGATTGTTTGTTAGCATTTTTTTTTTTGGCAAATTGTTAAAAACCTTGGTTTTCTCCCAGGCCTTGGGTTAGGATGGTGGTCAATCCCCTTTGGCTTTTGGTATGTTTTCGTCTTTTTGGATTATGGGTTGGCCTTCTGGTCAGTTGTATTCTCTTTCTTTGGTAGATGCTGTTTTCTTTTTAATTCTCCTTTAATTGTAAGCCACCCAGAGTCACTATGGAATTAAGCAACCTCAAAACTGAAATACTGTATTTATTGGTGTATAACACGCACTTTCCCTCCTAAAATTTGGGGCTGAAATCCTAGCTGTATGTTATACGCCGATATGCATGTTATACGCTGATGTATAAGCCCCTGTATAAGCCCTGCGGCTTCTCACCTCAAGCGGCAGGGCTGGGAGAGTGGAGCCTTCATTTGAGCCAGGGCTGTAACCGGGGCTGCAACTGTGCGCTTCCCACCTCCTCCTCCAATTGATGGCACTTAAACCTTTCCTCCTCTGTTTGCAGTCTTTAGTAACATCACCTGCGTGGTCTGGCACTCAGTGTGTCAGAGCAAAGTGCTGGCGCTTTGCTCTGACTCATTACTACATGCCGGACCGCACGGGTGATGTCACTAAAGTACCACGAGCTTCCCTCCTCTTTGCAGCATTCTGGTGTGTAATAATGAGTCAGAGCAAAGCGCCGGCACTTTGCTCTGATACACTGAGTGCCGGACTGCACGGGTGATGTGAAACACTACTTGTTTCAGTTTCTTAAACCTACCAGTATCCCTAATGGAATCAAGACAAAAGCGTTTAGCATATACAGCTGGTTTCAAGTTAAAGGTTGTGGAATATGCTGAGCAACATGGAAATAGGGCTGCAGCAAAGCATTTTGGAGAGCCACCAACAGAATGCACAATACGAGAGTGGCGAAAAATGAAGAAAAGATCAAGACATTATCAAAAACAAAATGCAGTTTCCACAGCGATATTGCTAAATGGCCAAAATTGGAAGAACAGGTAAAAGAATTTGTACTTAATCAAAGAAAAGCTGACATTGCTTTATCAACAAAAATGATAATTATTCAAGCAGTGAAAATCAGCAAAGAGTTACAAATAAATGATTTCAAAGGGTGAAATGGTGCCAAAGGATGGCATCATGGTGCCAAAGATTTATGAAGAGGCATGAGCTTTGGATGCAAACAAGAACCAGGATTGCCCAGTGTATGCCAGACGATTATGAAGAGACGCAGTTAAGCAAGATATTGTTATAAAATCTTTAAGAAATGTGGCATAAGCAATGCTTTGGATGGTAAAGAAGATGAACTGATGTATGAAGACAGTGACAGTGAAAGCAGCAGTGTTTAGTTTGATTTTGAAGATAGCAGTGAAGACGAAGAGTTTCATCGTTTCCAAGATAGCAGTGATTCTGATTAAAATTTTTGTAAAAACTTATAATATCTAAGTTTTTTTGTTCAAAGAGGTGCTTTTTCTTTCATATTACATATTTACCTTATAAGTGGTATAAATATTAATAAACAAAAAGTTCAGAGCTCCCTTTATTTTGCTTCCAAATCATTTATTTTAAATTTAAGTTTTTTTACTCAAACCTGATGTATGAAGACAGTGACGGTGAAAGCAGCAGTGTTTAGTTTGATTTTGAAGATAGCAGTGAAGACGAAGAGTTTCATCGTGTCCAAGATAGCAGTGAGTCTGATTAAAATTTTTGTAAAAACTTATAATATCTAAGTTTTTTTGTTCAAAGAGGTGCTTTTTCTTTCATATTACATATTTACCTTATAAGTGGTATAAATATTAATAAACAAAAAGTTCAGAGCTCCCTTTATTTTGCTTCCAAATCATTTATTTTAAATTTAAGTTTTTTTACTCAAACTTCCTTTTTAAAATTAAGTTGCGTGTTATACGCCTGTGCATGTTATACGCCGATAAATACAGTATTAAATTAAATGACAGAAAGAATTTTAGGTGAATGTTTAGTGAACATTCCCCTCTAGGTTTAGAACGTAAATTAATTAAAGCTAAAGCTAAAGTTAAAGCCACAAGGAATTTATGGGTCATAAAAGGTTGACTTACTATTTGGAAAAGTCCACATCCATTCCTACCGAACAGAAACACATAAAATGCCAGGGCATCCATGATGAACTGTGGATGAAGAAAAGGTGTGTAATATTTTTGTAATGTGGCCATGCCTGATGCAGCCTTTCTAATAGGTATGCAGCAATCATTTGTTTTGGTCACTGTGTCTTGCATTAAGTATGTTTGGTATTCAGCAGTACTTTGGGCAGATAGCTCCAAGCAGCAACACATGTTTATATTTCTGTTTCTAACCAAAATGTCTATATGCTACTGCTATGAATAAGATTTTAATTTAAAAAAACAACTTAATACAATCAGTCCAGTACACAAAATTTAAATCTGTTGAAATGTATGATTTATCTTGAAATCCTTAAATACTTTGAAGGCAACTCTTGAAGTACAGAATTACAGAGTAGAACAACTATTTGGTTGCTTCTTCAGAAATCTCTGATGCTCTTTAGGGGATAAATTCTAGATCTTTGGATTAAAGGAAATGTACACAGCAATATATTAATTTGTTTACTCAACTTGTGAGTGCCAATAACCAGGGTGCTTAAGTAAACTTACAATTAAATATAATAAAAACTAAGGGTGGCCATAAACCACTGTTTAAAACATGCACCTAAAATAGCAAAACAAGAAATACCCCAAAAGACTTTTGTAATATTTATTTGTTAAATGTATATCCTGGCTTTTGTTCAGGAGCTCAAGGTGGGGTACATAGTGTTTCCTCTTCCCATTTTTCCCCACAACAGCACTGTATGATAAGTTGGGCTGAGAGAGAAAGTGACTGGCCCAAAACCACCCACTGAATTTCTATGACTGAGTGTGGACTAGAACCTGGGTTGCCCCAGTGCCACTGCAGCTCTTTAACCACTATGCAGTGTTAAGCCACATGGAGGCATAAAAATATTTCACATGTTAAAGGGACTGAGAGAATAAGGAGAACTCTGCCTGATACCAGAAGGGTCCACAAAGTAGGTGCCAGGTGTTCCTGTTAGCCTACAGCTTGTCTTGGCTTCTCAGGTAAAAGCTGTGATCTAGGAGGTGAGTTTCCTTGTCCCCTGTGTGTCCCAATAGAAAATGGAAGCTGATCAGTGCTGTCCAGGAGCTTCAGTAGTCACCATATTATGCTGTCATAATGCATTATAAAGAGGGCTGCTCATGAACAAGTTTCAAATATTACAGTTACAGAGAGACAGTAACTTATGGCATAAGCACAGTTTTTTCATAGAAGTGCTTGGTCCCATCCCTGCATCTCTCACTACAAGAGTATTTGCGGGGTGTAGTTAAAAAAGTCAAGATGGCAGCTGCAATGATGCAACTGAAGTTCTGCCTGTTTTTTTATACACGTCGTGTGTGATGCTCCTTTTAAAAAATGGGCAGAGCTTCTATTGCACTATTGCGACCATCGTCTTGACATGTTTGGTCATACCCTGTGGACACCTCTGACTCTGTTAATGAAGTTTGCTTTTTAAGAACACAACATTGGTATTTTTAAAAAAGCTGATATAGCAAAGCTTACCTTTTAAATTTTTCCTTTGTCTTAAAGACCTACCTCTTTCTATATGTACTGGGAAACTAATTGTTGTGTACTGTATTTGATTCTGTTTTCCCTCCCCTGTGCAGGTGGCTTCTTTACTGTGGTTTTACTTGTAATTACTTGTTTTTAACCCTTTATAAGACATGCAGAGTAATTGGGTGGGTGGGAGGGAGGGAGGAAGAAAATCGGCTCCAGGAATTAGAGTCTTAGTCCATTTTTGTGGCTAGATATACTGCTATAACAATTTGCCAGAAAATGAACCATAAACAGTTTTCAGGTTTCTAACGTTTTGAGTATGCAAACACTCTAGGTTCTTGTTTGTTTGTGTGTATTTATTTTCCCTTTTTGCAATTGTCTTCTTTTTCTTGTCACTTAAAATATTTTATTTTGTAGTTAATCACAGTATGACATTGTTCCATTTAATTATATGCCCATGGCTGTTGAAGTGTGTAATTAGGATTTTTGACAATTCATTCTATATCTCTGAGCCTGCAGTGAGCAAGAACAAAGCCATAAGCTAAGTGATTGGGTTATAAAAACAATTGAGAAATTATGATCAAGCTGGATAATGAGGATTCTTTACCTCTTTATGAAAAGGCCTGTTGGCTAGATTGGAGTTGAAAAAATATCCTGGAGGAAGTAATGGCAAACTTCCATACAGTTGCCAAGAAAACTGCCTGGCTGTGTCCTTAATAGTCACCAGAAGCCGAGAATGTTCAAGACAGTCTTTATTTGTTTTGTGTACATTGCATGCAATCAAAAATATTTCCTTTGTTGAAACCCTTTGTTGAAAATAACGGCATTCTTTGTGGATTCTTTATTATGTCAGATGCTAAAGAAAGGATTAATGAAGACACGTAGGTGATGATTGGATGATTTTGTGAGAGATGTTTCTTTTCCCCTTATAGGCACATTTGAACTAATACTTTCAGAGGTCCTATAGAAATCCAGAGACCTAGATAGCTATGCTGTGCAGGAAATGTATTTACTTACTTACTTACTTACAGTTATTAGCTGCCCAACTCCAGGAAGGTTCTACAGTAGTTAACTTTTGCTAAGGAGCTCTTGGTAGCATGGCATTTCCTCTGGCTTTAGCAGAATCTCCAGAAAATAGAGAGTCTACCCTTCATGCTCTAAACCAGTGTTTCCCAACTTTGGCAACTTTAAGATGAGTGGACTTCAACTGGGAGAAACACTGCTCTAAACCCTAGAGGTTCAGAAAAAGTTTTTTTTTCTCTCAAATAACAGTATCACTTCATACTTCACACTGATGATCTCATTTGAAAAAGTTCCTCTACCACATCACAGTTCAGAATGCTTTTAAGTGAGATTCTCTATCTTTGAATGGGATCTCATTTAATTTGGAAAATTACAGTAGGTGCAGAAAGGAGTGAATTAGTTTAAAAATTAAGGCTGCAATGGGTTTAAGAATTTGTGAAGATACTGTATCTTAGATGTTCAGCAGAAGTACTGTTTCAGAATTGCTTCAAAGGTAAATATTTTGACTGTTCTGCAGCCTAAAATTTAATCCTTAGCAGAGGTTATCAAGCTTTTTAGGCAGTGGACAGCAATGCATTATTTTGCCTGAAGTTGTGAGTTCTAATTTTAAAAAAATTGGAAAAAAATAAACCACTGAAATCTTAGAAGATCTCATGCAACACAAAAACCTTTTAATTGTTGGCCACCTTCTGAGATTTTCAGCCATTGTTTTAGTGTTCATGGGTGACACCTAGTGGTGTCATGTGTGCTCAAAGCACTGTTTTTTGAATCTCCAAAATGGTTTCTGGTTTAAAGGTAAACTTAATATAACAAAAGAGAAATTAGGAAAATATCCTAATGCACTTATTATTTAATAACTAACATGTTCTCATGTATTATAGACACTGGCAGGAGCTAGGAGATTAATAGTTTATACAACTATGGTCTCCGAGCTCCTTCTGGCTAACCAATAAAAACAATTAAGCTTTTCAAACCTTTCTTTCAACTAGATTAAGTCTTGATAGAGCGGTTACAAAGATGTAACTATAGAAACAAAATCTTTACTTACAATGATTTGTTGCTATTTATTGTAATGGGTTGGATAGTTCATATTTTGTAGGAAGTTTCAACATATAATTTGAAAAATTTTGTACAGTTGAATTGTGATTAACAGCTCTGTACTCCACGCTTATAGCTTCCCAGTAAAGGAGAAAGGAAGAAATTTTACCTTGGGGAAGAAATAATAGATAAGAGATGATGGAGCAGTTTTATTAACTATAGATTCTATCATCCCTGGAATTAACCGATGCTGCATGCACCATCACCTGCTAAAGAGAATTTTATTTATTTCAAACATTTCTGTACCATTTTCCATTAAAAAATCTTGAAGTTTTGTTTTTTTTTAAATCAGTGAGTGTTTTGCTTGTCATTACCTTTTTGCTACCTTGATAAAGGTAAGGCCAGACTGACTGTTTAGATTTGGGTCTTACCTGGAGATCAAAGTGAGTCCCATTTCAAGAGTACTTTAGATAATTATACCTCAAGTTTTCTTTTTTGGAAAGATAGGAATAGGTTTTTCACTTAAGATAATAAAGAAAAAGCTTGGTGAAAAACTCTTAGCAATTATTCAGTAAGAAAAACAACATAGGATTACATTCAAAGTCCCAATAAAGGCTCTTGGAATTACTGATGAGCCTTACTAAAAAAAAAAAAAAAAGCAAAAACATC